ACTGAATTATCTTTGTTTCCAAGCCTATATCGGGTATCTGTTATTTATTAGAAATACACATTTAGCTGCAAGTGTAAGTCTGAAACCTACTGTTTAAAGAAGATCAGGACTGCAAAAGCCAAGCATGCTAACATTAGAAGATGTTAAAGTTAATATTGCATGTGCAAACCAGCTCCAGACCACTTCTGTATATGTTGTAGAGGTGGGATTAATCTCACTTCTACCATCTGAAAGTTAGGCAGTGAATCTCAAATGGTCAGGTGGGCTCCTTAGCTCTATCAATAGGCAGAGGTAAAGCACTTCATAGTGTGACTCATCCAAACCTAAGATAGGTGTCTAAGAGAAGGGAGGCATATCTCCCTCGGAGCATGCTCATCTCTCTGTCTGTGCTCTAGAGGGAGTGCAAGTGACTTGCTTGCAAGGTGGATCCCACCATAGCAAATGGCATGTTATTTTTGCCACAGGATCACTGCCTTACTCAGTGCTTACTAAATCTTACTCTTCAGTATCTTCTCTTTTTATCCTTTCCCTGTAATGTGTAGGCCTCTGCATTATTTTACTGTGTGCTGTTGAATATAGCATAGAACACAGAATTACTCATTTTCAGTGGGACTTTCTAAGGTGCTCAGGTATAGCATTTCTTAGGTCTTTACAAACACTGATCAATATCTTCAAGATGAGTCACAAAAAGAGGCAACATTATTATGACTTCTTTATGACTATTATTATGACTACAAAGGGGGAATGAAAGCCACAAGATCAGAGCCATTGAAAGCTTCCCTGCACTTTGGATGTGCACAGGCTGATTTTTCAGTGCTTACAGCACTATACATCAGTTTAGAGGTGTGAGACGCAGTTTGTTGTGACCTGGATTGCAGCTGTGAGAGCCTAGCCTACTGACTTCTGCAAACCATGCTTCCCCAGGCCCCATGTTTGCCACTATGAAAAACGAAAAACTTCTATTCCAGTTAACACTGTTAGTAGCAGTTTTATTCTGGGACACATACCACTCCGGAGTGCCTAGAATAATGCCACTTGAGTTTACGTGGTTGCCCCACAGTCTGTAAGGTGTCATTCGTCCAATTTAACTGTGAAAGCATTGTTTCTGTCACTGCAGACCCATTTTAATCCAGGTTCTGCAATGTTGGTGTTGCAACAAAAGCAGCTGAGCCTTAGCAGTCAGCAGCCTCCTCCATTGCACAGTCATAACAAATCCCCACAGCACAGGCCATTCTTTGCCCCACGTAAGGTAGGGAGTCCTGAGGGGAAACCACAGGAGTTTGTAATCACATCATTAAAAGAGCTTATGATAATATTTAGAAGGAGGCTGGAGTAAGGTTTCAGAAGCAAATTGAATTTACTTTTTCATTCTTGATTTTGCAGATGTAGTTTTCTTCTTAAAAGTTAAAAATATTGTCATACAGTATTTTGAAAAAGTCAGCAACTGGGAAAGGAGAGGTGTCTCTGAGTGAAAGCTCTGCCTGGGTCATCAACAGCGCTAGGTACTTTATTTGGCAGGTCTCCATCAGCTAAGCTCACATTCTAGGTGGTGGCAATACTGTCATCTCCTGGGCACTAGAGGGGGATGGATACACGTACTTTGCTGGTGGAGTTCACACCCGGAAAAACAGTGCTTCTGCTTCTGGTTTCAATTCCAGAAGCTAAAGGAAGTGGTGACAAACCTTTCTTTCCTCGTTGTTTTTTTCTCTTTTTTTTTGAGAGGGGTTGGGGAAATTTTCCCTTATCTTCCTCTTGCCTTCTGTTCATTTCTGTCTCTGCTTCTCCATTCCGATGCGTTATTTCCCTTGACTTCTGAAGGCTGTCTTGTGCTGTGCCTTTCCTCCTTCCAGAGCTCCTGCTTTTGCTCCTAACCACTGCTCATGATCCCTCACCTCTCCTGTTCCTGCCTGCCTCTTGTACCTTCACAGCCTCCACCTTCATATGCAGCTTAATTACATTAGATACAGATTCTTACTCTGCCCTTAGCAAGACAATAGTATCTCAGCCCCTTTGAACAGGATATCAAGCAAATGATTATTAACATTCGTGCTCTCTCTGTAATCAGGTCTGTGAGATGGGGAATGTTTGGTTACATAGAGCTTTAGCTCAAGGTTGTTGAGTTTTTTAATGGCAGATGTACTAAAGAAGATGTGTTTTGTTAAAGACCTGTTTGAGGACCGAATCTTGTATTCAGAGCACACTGAGGAGAGGTCCATGAATATCAGATCTTGTGGGAGTTCCCTTTGAAGCCTAGTATTTGCCTTCCCGGTAGAAAGTAACGCCATCTTGAAAACCATGGCGTCGACCATGTTGACCATGTCTTCACTGTGGGGTGCATTCTTTTCAGACAGCTGGTTACATAGACACCCGTCGGTGAAAAGAGTAGTCAGCAAGTATAGCATTGTCTTCCAGGTGAGCCAAGCCATGGGAACTGGTTGGCATTGTGCCCTCTAGTTCAAAGAAAGATGAATTGAAGCCATTGTATACCTTGAAGGTAAAGTCAAAGACCTTGAAGCAGATTTCGATAAGAAGTAAAGCTGCGAGCAGAGACTGTCTGATGTGCTCTCAGTAGACTGAAATTCAGGCTACTGTATTGTGAACCCTGTCCTGGGTTCAGGTTGTTGGTGAGTCATTGGGCAGGCCTTTGGCTTATGAAGGTAAGCTGGACACTACACAGAAATTAGCTCTATGAATAAGCTGCTTCTGTCCCCCTCTCCTGCCTTTTTTGATCTCACTTTTTGCTCCTGTCTCTAACCACCCATGACTATTTCTCATTTTACATGTTTTCTGTACTTTTTACCTCTATCCAAAGTTCCTTACTGTTCCCACTGAGCTGAGGGTGTTTCTTCCCCTCTCTGCTCTCTTCACATCCGCAGTGGGAGCACTGAGATCAGAGCAGGGATCTTCTTCCCATTCTCATTGCAGAAGCTGCTGCACGTGCAAGGCCAGCTGGGTCCCGCTCCTGCAGCCCTGGCCTGCGCTGTACTGTCACCTGTGCAAGTGGAGTATTTGTAGTAGCCAGAAGGCAGAAGCTGTTAGGACTTGGGAGGTGTTTGAGAGAGAGTAACTCCTATGTCTACTACCATATGATATTGTCGATACCAAATGTAAAAATACAATTTTTGGATGTATACTGCTTGGGTGAATCTTAAAAAGAACAGACAAAAAGCTAATCTCTGGAACTAATGTTTCCATTCACTAACACAAACAACTAACCATGGAATATCCTGTTATCAGGCACTACTTGATCTGTGGCAGTACTATTGAACCATTTTAACAAAAACTTACTGAAAACTGCTAGCCTGAAGGCTTTCCATGGAAAACATCAGTCCAAAAAGCTTAATTTCTGAAAGGTTTGGTTAGCTTGTAACATAGGAAGGTGCGTTGTGTTTACTGTAGAGGTTGTTACTTCCACGATCACTAGCGCCGAGGGGCTTAGTTGGTTTGTCTTGTTTGGGTTTGCTTTTTTCCCCTTATTTTTATGATTTATTCCTCAGTTACCAAAGTGGGGAAAAAAACTGTGGTATTTAGTCAAAACTCTTCTTATTTAAACTTCTTTTTTCCTTGGCTGACTTTCTTTTCAAGTCCTTTGAGCATCCATTTCTGTATGTAAATATGTGTTGATACATGCATATATATATGTGTGAGTTCTTTTTCTTACGATTTTAGCTTGACTTTCTAAGGAAGCGTGGATTAAGCTATCATACTGTTTGTCCTCCTGTCTGTCTACCTGCCTGTCCATCCCCATTTGGTGAATTTGAGCCCCCTTGCCAAACAAAACTAGATTGGGCCCTCTGCTGAAAAAACTCAGAAATTAATTCCTCTAAGTTTCATGGAAAACATTGGGAGAGGAATGGGACAGGAAGGAGATACAAATAGCTTCCCTTACTGCAGCTGAAGTATAACCTCAATGGTTTTCTTATCCTGACGGATGACCAGTCAGCACACACATAGCTTGGTGCCAAACCCAACACGTGCTGCCTCTTCTCCAGACAGACAGATAGGAGACAGCGAGATGTTGTGGGGCATGCCATAGCACACTTGGAGGTGGAGACGTGGAACTCTTGCAGTGAGAGATGGAGGAACAGACTGTACACATCTGTAGGAAACCATATTTCAGCATTTCTGCTGTCCAAGGAACATCTGCCATGTGTTGCGAGGGAAATTAGGGTAATTATAAAAGGGTGCAGGGAGGGCTAAAGGGGAAAGGTCTTAAATATGTAGGAAACTGGGCTACATTAGTTCTGCTGCTTATGGCATAACACAGTAGCTTTCAGCCTTTGTTATTCCCATTCTGGAAACAATCCTGAACAACGGCTTTTGTCTAGTCAATAAATTTTTGAATCATCTTGTTCAGTTTCTTAGTCAGGGAAGGACTTTGTGAAAACTGGGAGAGGGATTTAATGCCCACAGTTTACTACAAGACTTAGAAAAGGAACCTATAAGAAAGCAGTTAGTAAGGGGGAGCTCCATCAAGCAATTACAGCCAAAGACTAGAGTTCTCAGTGGAACAGAAAAGGGGTTGGCATCAGGGGATGACATCCCAGGAAAAGGAAGGATTTATACTGATTTTACCATTGATCAGCCTTTTATGTATCTATTCATCTCCAATTGGTGATGCACTGAATAAAATTTACCAAATTGCCCCTTTTCCTGAAAGCAAAAACTTCTGGAAAGCCAAAAGCATATAGTATAGTTTTAAACAGCTATAAAAATGCTCACTAGAAATAACACAGTTGAACCTAGCACAACTGTAAAGTATGCTGGTGCTCCTAGACAGTCTTTGAATACATTAGACGAAAGGTTTTTGAAAGCGTACAGAATCATGAAATGCTTAGATTTCTCTACTTTTAATTCTAAAATGTTACAAAATTACTTCATCATACAAAAAATACATATGGCTTACAAAGATGCATCAATGATTTGTTTGAAATGTGTTTAGCTCATAAAATCCCCTCATCTCTTCAAAAGCAAGTATTTGAGAACACAGATACCTGTTTTCAAAGCCAGTGTGGCTTGATGCATAAGGTTTCTAGAAGTAATACATTTAGGGGGGCCTCTCCTAGGATGGGCCTGAAGAAGAGCTCTTCAATAGCATCTGCATCAATGTCTCGAAGAGAGGCAATTAGCTGAAGAATCCAAGCAAACCAGCCTAGGTTCCTGTGGAACATCGTTGAGATAAACTCCATCAAGGTTTGCTGAGCTTCCTGCTGCAGTGTTTGTACATAGGGGAGACATTTTAGGACATGGCATCCTGTCAAAACAAAAAGTAAAATAATAAATCTTGAAACACTTTCATTCTGTGCCCTTCATAATGATGGGTGTCTGGCTTTCTAACTTGTAGTACTACTTTCTCTAGAAAACAATAAAAGCTTTCTAAATACACTTTTTGGAAAAAGAAGATATGCGTAGTTCAATAATTTGAAGAAACTTTGAGCAGCATTGTAAGCATATTGGAATCTAGCCCATTATGTTAAATCCAGCTCTGAAATGGTAACAGGAGCTAACTTTGACTCAGTACAGTTGGAGAAGCAGCTTTATAGTGTTGTCTATCCACCAAATGATGCTGAGACCATAGTCTGGGTAGGTGGAAACATTCCAGCTCTAATCTAAAATAGGTAGGCAATATCAGGAAGATGGAAGTGGTGGTTTGGAGCTGCGAGCAGGCTGGCAGTCTGAAGACATAGGTTTCCTGTCTACCCAGCCCCATCTCCCTCTAGCAAGCTTCTGCTTGCTAGACTAAGCTGGGGCACTATGATTTACCATGCTATCTAGATATCTTCATTTACAGTCTAAAAAGAGCATAAAGGTTCTCTGTGAGATGTATCATGACCCACAGGAGTAGAATAAATAATTGTATTTGCTGTTTTTGTATTCCCTTTCCTCAGCCATTTCTGAAGAGGGAGAGGTCTCTGCCCTATGGAGTCATGGTCTTGAGCCTCAATTACATACCTACCATAGCACGTGACTTCAAACCTGCTGTTTCACTGAGGGTCTTTGTGGGTGCCAGGGCTCAGTTCAAAGGTCACCCCATGTTTATCCTTTGCCTCTGGTGGAATTGCCTTGTCAGGTAGCTCTCAGCAACCTGTTGCCTCCTGTCCTCACCACCTGAGGATAACACCATCTTTTCTTTCCTAGAATTGCTGCAGCCTGAACAGGGGTAGCATGAATCCCCAAGTTTTGACTTCTGCCTCTCCTGCCTCCCATGTCTTACTTTAACCTATCTCCCAGTACACACTCGTTTACAGTGACTGACTCCATACCTCCGTGGGATGGGATCTGAATAGCTTAGACCGGGGAGTGTTTCACACAGAATCATTCATTGAAGTGTGGGAGGTTCTGCCTTCTTGCCTAGTGCCCTGTACTAGGGCAAAACCAACCTGGTTGGGGTTTTTTCAGTCTGTGGCTGGCTGCCGTTTGTCAGTCTTCAGCAGCTCTCTTCTCCCTAGACATCACTGCCAGAGGAGAAGAAGCCTCAGTAAAGCCTGCAACCAGGCGAGCCAGAAATGAAGGGTTTGGAAAAGTCATCTTCTCCCCCAGGATTACCACCAGCTGCAAGCTGTGAGGATGGTTCCAGGTGTTAGATTTTTCATGGAAAGGAAGTTGTCAGGATTTTGTATATTCAGGATGAAATTGCAATTGTTTATGTCCCTTCAAATTTGCTTAATTTCCCCATTTGGTCTTCTTTTATATGTAATCAAACGCTGGTTTTAATTTACAAATAATGAGAAACTTCTTGTTCTGAGATCTGTTGTAACAATATTCAGTCAAACACATGTTTCCAGCTGAACTGTAAACCTCTTAAGAGCATCTTTTTTAACAGAAGTCCTTTCACATCCTTGATGGAGTTTTTTTGTTTGTTTGTTTGTTTGTTTTTTAAAAACTCCATGAAAATATATATATATGGCACTGATACAATAACAGCACTGTTTTTCACAATTCCCATCTCTTCACTGTGCAGTTCCCATTGCTTTTCAGACAATTGTCAAAAGCAGCAAGAGCAGTTTCACCTCACTCTGTACTGTTCATGCATGGTGGGACAGACCTACCTGTTCCTTCCTTTGACTTACTGCCTGGCTCCTTGCAGCTGGACCCTTCACCCATGCACACCCTGACCTCTCTGAAGCCACCTAGCCAAAGCACCCCTGTGAAGAGCAGGGATGGCAATGTGTTCTGGAGAGTCTGGATTCAGTTAATGCAAGACTGCCTATTTCCCCTCAGGGGTTGGGCACACGCTTTCTCCTTCGCAGGTTCTTGCTGGCCAAGATGTGGTCAATCAGTAACCCAGCCAGAGCCTCCCGCACAGAAGTACTGCGCAGATTGTGCTTTAGTGGGAGGACCTACACTCCATGCTGCCTGCCACCCTGTCCCCAAAGGGATTTTTTTATGATAGTAAGCACAATCTCTATGCCACAAGAAATCACTTAGGGCACAAGCAAAGCTCTGCCATACTTGTTTGTCATGCTTCTTGCCCAAGCACTGGCCTTGCTGTGCTGCTACAGCTTTTGCTGAACTCCAACTCATAATCCAGCTCTGGACTGCTCCGTGCCTGGTCCTTCCCCTTTGCCTCAGCCAGTTTTGGTGGTCCTAACAGGAATAAAAAGTTCAGGGTGGGAGCCCACATGAAGTACTCCATGATCCAGGAGAGGGTTTAGTGTTGTTGCTGCTGGTGGCTGCCTGAAATCCTCTTAGAACTGAGGCCTGCAAGATATTAAGATTTGGCCAAACATCAAGCCAAAACTAAGAGGGCAGCTGAAAATGTGCTGCATGTACGTAGAAAACATTTTCTGAGTTTGGTGGATAGTGTTCAAAAACTATTAAAAATAGTCATTGTGAAACGATAGCTCTACAGTTTTGTTTGCAGCAAAACAGGTAGAGAAAGGGCGGTTTGGGCTGTGTATAAGTCCTCAGTACCTGTTTCAGCCCAGAGGTAGACTGCAACTCTTTGTTCCATCTGGAATCACTCTAGGCTTAACTGAAGTCCTTGCAACCGCCTTCTGCATCCCGTGGAGAAAGGCACCTCCAGAGAATACGGTCATCCCATCTAAGAACTAGGGAGTCCCCCTGAAGCTCTCGACAGTGTCTGCAGACAGCATGAAGGGCTGCTGGGCCTCTCGTATGGCACCCCGGGGAAGCAGCAAGCATTAGAAGGCACGAATCCAGACCATAACACTGCTTCTGCTGCTTTCTCCTTAAGTGACAATCGCATTTTATCCACAGAGATAACAAAAATGCCTGCTAGTTAAACTGTGTAAGCTGCTGCAGATGAGGGATTTCTCCTCTTATCATCACCCTGGATATAATCGGTTGTTTCTTTCAGCCTGTGAAAAACGGAGAAAATAACTTGCACTGAAACGAACTCCACTGGTTTGATGCTGCGGCATAGACACACAAGACAATACCAAACATCTGGATGACATTACATCTCAAAAATCAAAATTTGAATCCTATTGGAAACAGATATAAAGTCACTATAGCCTTTGAGCAGCCTATAAACCATTTGCCACAACAAAAATCATGGAATAACTGAAGCGTTCAAGTATCCTTTTGGTGCAGTCCCAAGTATAGCACACTGCTGACAGTGCAGCCAACAGCAGTGATTGCTGTGGAAGGAGTCGGGGATCTGAGCCAGAGCAGACTGGAGTCACTAAGTCTTTCCACCTACTTTAGTGGACTTAGAGCTCAGCTTTTAATGACTCACGCACTCCGTGGTGCTGACCTAGGCAACCTTCCTTCCTAAAGAGGCTGAACTTGGCACCAGAAGTGAGAGGATGCAACCACTAGTCTGAGTTTGCTCTGTGACTGCTGTCCCAGGCTTTGGATGTAGAGATACTCAAGGATAAATAAATAAATAAAAGCTGTGTAACCTCAGCGCAGTATCCTTTTGACTCATTGATGAAAATCAGATGATAGATATCATTTTGTCTTCTCGAGTGCTCTTGCTACAGACAAAGTCTTTGTTAAAATACTTCTAATACTCACATGTGCCCGTGTACCATCTCTCCTTTGCTGTACTACGGGTGAGGCTGCTGTATTACCTTTGAACAGGAAATCAGTTTGAAGTGACACGGTTAATTCTTTATGACTTAAAATTTGTCTAATAGAAGCTGTTTTGGCTTACAGTGGGTGGCCTACTGCACACATCCAAGGAACCTAAATAAACTACTTCAGGCAGAAAATCATTAAATTGTGGAATATAGTTTTTCAAGAACATTTAGCTATATTCATAGAAAAGAGTAAAACTAAACATTTGTCTGTACACAAATGAAAATGACAAATGTCCTTCTAGACACATAACCATCTATGTAATTTCCAGGAGGACTTACCAGAATTAAAAAGAATAATTCCTTTAAGATAGGCATATTCTTTTGCACTTATGTTCAGGTCCCAGAATTTCCATAATAAATTCTTCATCTTCTGAACTTCTGCTAAAGATGCTTCCAGTGACGCACTGCCCAGTTCATTGCTCGCTGTCAAAGACTGATTGAGGAGGATTTTTTTCAATAAACTAGGGGCTGAAATCTCTCTCAGGTCAAAATCCACCCCTTCTTGTGCTATGCCCAGGACAAAAAGAGGGGCCCAGTTCTGCTGTACGAGGACAAGCTGATCCTCCCAAGGCACATGATAAAAAGAAGGCAGGTTTCCAATAAAAGTCTTCAAGAGCACTTCAGAAGCTCTTCTGCATGTGGCTTCTGGCGTTTTCAGGGCAGCTCTTCTTCTGTCCATACAAGAGCAGCCCTTGCTTCCCGTGGAGCGGTGGGGACTGCGATACTGCTGGTGCCACTTGGTCTCACTTCCATGCTCTTTGTTAAGGATCTGGTACAGGATGCTCTTAGCATGGTGTGTCTCACACTGACATTTCCCAACTTTCTCAGCTGGGACCTCGGTAGCCACAGAGCCAGAGTTCCCTGTGGCAGGAAACTGCGCGTGGAGCTATGCATCAAGAGCAGGGGAGAGCATTTCAGCGAGGCATTGTGTGCTTTTTGTATACACGGGTGATTGAAAAGTAATATGACCCTGATCTGTAAAGTTACCTTGAACTTTATTTGCACCAGTCTGTTTCGAATGAGGCGGGGCTGCAGGCTGCCGATGTCGCACAGGGCTGCCGTAGCCGCGGGGGAGCGGGAGGGCTCGTGCCCGCCGGCAACACGGGCACTGCTCAGCGCTGTGCCCCGCTGCAGGCAGGCTGTGCCTGGCCTTCTGCCACCATGCCAGTGGCTCTGTGCTGCTGCCACCAGCAGTGGCAGTTTTGCAGAGGACAGCTATATAACACGTACAACCTGCCCCTATGTTTTTATTGATGCACTGACCTTGCCCACTAGCTAATGCTCTGGAGTGCACAGAAATACATTTATACTTATGAATGATGCTGTGGTAGCAGTCCCTTGAGTAGATGTTTTCACTTCTTGTGAAAAGGAGCCACCTGAAGACGCTGTGGATGTCTACCATTACTTTTCACAGAGCACTTAACAGTGTTCGTACTTTACACTGTAGCTAAAAGGATGTGACACCTATGTCAAGGAGCTCAGAGGTGAAAGTCCCGGGGATGGAAATCTCATGTATAGGAATTATTTCACATTCCTGGGAGATTTGAGAGAAACTTCAGAGAAAGTCAGCGGCTATAGCTCATGACAATGTTATCTCCTGCATTTCACAGATGATAATTTTAAACACAGACTATGCAGACTTCTCCCAGACTTGCTGTGTGATTAAATATTCTTCATACAAGCTGTGGAAATAGAACTGATGAAGAAAGAGAGCAAAATGGCAATTCGTACTGTTGTGTGTGTGAACTTTTGTAGCAGAGCGAGAGCTGAATGATAGAATTGTCAGGACTTTTCAGGCAACATCAGGGAAAACTAAGTAGCAGAAATGCAAGAACTCAGCCTTAATAAGAAGAAATTGATACTTCAAGTTTTTGTTACTTCACACTCTCTTGCTTGCTCTTATATAGGGGAAGAGGTACTAAGTTTTTTCACCAAGCATAATGTTTATGTATTCCTACCATCTGGGCTCTTAGCATGTCCTAACAAAAAACGATCATTAAAAACAACAGCTCCAAGAGGTACTTCTATTAGATCTCCAAGCCTTAGGTATGTAAAGGCCATCCCATCAGATGCATAGCCGCAAATTTGTCCTTTGCTACAAACAACTGTGTGTTTTTTCTGTGCTGGGCCATTTTTAAATTTCCATTTATTTACCTCTCCATGATATTTATGTTGCAAAATTTTCTCCTTCTGAGGAGGTAAAAAGCAGAGGAAGAGATGACAGCTCCAAAGTTGAGCAATCTAGAAGTGTAGTGCTGCTGAGGTGCAGCTACCACTAACTGCAGAGAAGGTCAAGGGGGCCCAGAGCACTGAACACCTGATGGGATTTGCTTGTCCACACCTCTCCATCCATTCAACAGCTCACTACTGTTGTCCATTGCTGGGGTATCAAAGAGCTTTTTAGGTTAAATGGCACAGCAACAGAGAAGTCCCCAGAAAGTCCCATTCTTCTTATTCTCACTGTAGAATTCTAGCTGGGCTGAGGTTCAGTGGAATGAACTCCAGTTGCAGGGCTAATGCCATCTGAGGTTCTGCATGAGTTACATAGATTGGCTAATGGCTGTACTAGAGAGACTGGGCTTGCTAAAATCATTCTTACACAGAGTTTGCTTGTGAAAAGTAGTTCTGTCTCCTAATTGCTGGTGAGCATGGTGGTGTTTCAGTAATCTAGGTAGGAGAGTGAGCTCTGATAAACCCAAGTCCTCTACTCAAAGGAAAAAATCTTTGACTTCAGCTGAAATCAGCACCATTTCACAGTTCACCATCATTTCATCCTCATGGTTCATGTCATCATTTCACAGTTCCTATTAATTGTGCTTATTAAAGTTCTACTCCAGATTAAATTTGTTCCTTTCCTACTTTTTTTTTTCTGAGATCTGCATCAGTCATATGCAGAGAGTCCTGATGTCAGTAACATATGGTATTGGATACCATTTCTATTTATCATAATTGATTTCCTTTGGTGTGTATAGTTCTAAGAGGCAGAAGCAAATGCTATTTTTCTAACGGGAATGCCTGGTATATTATAATAGCTTTATGACTGTTTACCAAAAATACAGACTAAAGGTTACTGCCTCAGTACCACTGCTAAGGACACATCATTAGCTTTTTCTGAGTGTGATTACTTAGAATTATGAGTCGATATTGAATTGCAGGTGAAACTGATCCTAGTGGTCCTGATTCAAAATTGTCTGAAATGAGCTCTCTGTGTGACCTGATTTTCTCAAATGTAAAGGACCAGCAGCTAAATTTAGCTCTATTCTCATAAATCAGACAATAGTTATTTTTTCTTTCTAAATCTTACCTATAGAATGGTTGAAGCCACATGCACCTAGATATCAAGCATCTACAGTCTTCTTGCTACAGTAGCAATGCTTCTTTCAAATATACTTAAAGTATACTATACAAAAAACAATTTTGTGATATGAGAAATCTCCATGGACTTTTATCTATTTCAGCTGTTTCTAGCATGATGGTTTGAGAACAGTAAGACACAGTCACATCAGTGTTATTTTTTCTGTTTTGCATTTATATACTTTTTCAATCAACAAAGCATACACATCCACAAATACTGGCTGCAACCACATTCTCTCTGCAACCATCATAATTGCTCCTCGGGCACAAGTGCCACCTTTCGGATAACAAAAAAAAAATATCCTAAGTTCACAGACAAAATTGCTATGGACAACTCGTGGATATTCACACCATTTCTGGGAATTGTCCTGCTCCGAGCAAGGCTGCCATCTCCGTCTCTCCCATGAGTAATGTTGTTTTGCACACCTGTATATTACTGTTACAGGTAATACATACTTAATATAGCTCTTCATCTTTGTTGTTTAGGTGATTCACGCACACGATGCAACCTTTTTCCTAAAATCATGGATTTCTCAGGTTTGCAAAAACTACCTGCTAGGCATAGATGGTCCCAGGTTTCTACCGTCTCTGACCAGTGTGCAACAGCAGGGTCAGTGCAATGAAGTCAGCAGGAGCTGAGGGATATTTGTTACTATTAAATATCCAGTGACTTGTGCACATTCTTAAATATCCTATCGGGTCCAAAAGTATAAGGCATATAGTATTTTTGGCTCTTAGCCCATAGCCTCAATTAGTCTAATAGAATACTTGGAAGGCTGAAGAGACTTGTCAGATAATATAGGAGCTTAAGTGGCCATCTCATCCTTACCTTGGCAGTAGCCAAACATGAGTCCTTCAGGAAGAGTGTAAGATATATACCACTCTTCTCAGGAGTGCTTTTCTTGCCTTCAATCATTTGCAGCTTAGGGAATTCCTGAACCAGAGTGATTTTATGCATTTAATAACTCTCAATTAATTTCTACCCTATGATCTCATGCAGTCTGCTCCTGAAGCCACACGAACATCCACATCAGCCTCTGGCAAGGAGCTCTGTGGATGCTGTACGTGAGACAAAACTTGATCAAATATTACATTGGCTGGATTTGGTGCCTTCTTGCTCTTGTACTGGGGAAAAAAAAGGAATCAGTCAATCCCTATTCACCCTCTCTATAGCTTGCTTTATTTTATAAATCTTGGTAAGACTCCCACAGTCATCCATTGCCCAAACTAAAGAGACATAGCTTCCAAAATTGTTCTTTCTTTAGAGTGGTGCCATGCCTTTGATCATCTTGTTACCTTTCTTTGAAACTTTCTTAGCCCTATATCTTTTCTAAGATATTCTTTAAGGGGAAGTGGGGAAAGTATCAGAACAGAACACGCTGTCTAGGACTTAGGAGAGCATGGATTTATACAGGGAGGGAATGAAGTTCTCTGTTTTGTCTTTCCCAGAAGTCACTCCTGAACACTGAGCTGTTGTTGCCATGAAACTGCCACAGCCCCCAACTTTTACTCCTGAGTGATAGTCATCAGTTCAGAGGCGCTCATCTTAGCCAGGAGTGGAGTCAGGAGTGTTTTATCTTACGTGCATCTTTTGCCATGTATATATACACTGAATTATCATTTGACACCTAGTTGATGATTTTCATAAAGCCCTTCTGCAATTCTTCTTACAGCCCTAATCTTCCTCTGAATAATTTTGTATCATCAGCAAACATTCATATTCTGAAACTTTGAAGGCATTGCTCTTCAGAATAGTTTGCTCAATGCTGTGAGTTGCTTAAAATACTGTCATAATTTAACTATGGGGCAGAAAATCTGACGTCCTTGCAGTAGAGTGTCTATATATATAAGTACATATATGTTGGACTATATGTATTGGTGCACAATATATATAGTAACTAAGTTATTACTAAGCAGTGATGCGAGCTCTCCTACTTTCTTAAAAAGTGAGACTGGACGCAGATGCATTTCTGGAGAAGACTCTTCCACTATTATTTCATATGAAGGAAACACCTTCCTAGGAAGCTGACAGCAGCCTTTTTGAGGTCATCCTGTCACACCAGTCTGATACATGCATGTATTCCTTGATTCAGTGAGCTCTTATCTCTCTGGTCTCCCGAACAAACATTTAATTGGCCTATAAACTTCTATATGACTTCAGAACAGGATTTTCTCTAGGAGTTTTATACATTTTGTTTTCTAGGAGGAGTTGGGTGAATCTCGTGTCACTGGTACTTTTGAGGACACCTGACTTCACTAACAGCCTTAATGATGTTAAAAGGAGACAGTAATAAAACCAATATCTTTCTAGGAGGGTTCTATCTCCTCCTCGTCCCATCTTTCTTGAGCAGTAGAGGTATTCGTTTCTCAACTAGAGGAACTGAGAGCTACCATTCAGACTGCCTACTTTGGCTAGGCAGATAGTGGGAAATCTCATCCCCGAGTTAAAGCCTGCTCAGCTTTGAAACAAGCTCTGAAACACTGTCTTTAGCTTACGCTCCAATGCCATGGCAAACTAGGATTTGGCCCTTATATCTGAAGCAAGTGTACGTAAATTATAAATCCAGTTAATTTAAACACATTTAGCTTATCTTGAAGGTCAGTGGGTGAACTTCTCAAGTGACTGACATTAAGCATGTGTTTAAAGTACTTTGCTTGATTAAGTCTGGTAAAATCAGCATCTTTTTCATGATAGCCATTTGAATAGAAGTAGCAAATTAACAGAGAGGCAGCTGCTCCAGGAGGCCCTGCAGTGAGATGTTGTCTATCACTGAAACTAGGCCTCTTTTAAATTTGCCTTTGGTGACCGAGTCAGAGAAAAGGCAAATGCCTCTGAACTTCTGCCCCACATCTTGATGTGA